ATATGATGTAGAATTTGCCATTTTAAAATGCAAATTTCCGGAACCAGGGATTGAACTCAGGCCCTTGCGCTTGCCAGGGAAGCGCTTATTCCACTGAGCCACCTCACCAGCCCCCATATTTCCTGATAAAAACATTTCCTAATAGAAAATTTAAGGCAAAAGGTATTAATATGATTTTATTTTTGGTACCAGGATTTGAACTCAGGACCTTGCACTTGCCAGTCTGGGGTTGCTGTTGCTGATCTATACACCTCCAGCCCCATGATTTTTGATAATACTGGCCAAAACATAACAACAACAACAACAACAACAATACCTTCCAAGAGGACTGATGGAATTTACAATTCCTTTACCAATTTTTGCAGTTATCATTAAACCTAAACAAAGAAGCCAAAACTCATTTTTCATAATTTTTCTAATTTTAAAATTCATTCCAATCTGGTTTCTTTTTCCAACAAACTTCTAAAGTTATATTTACTGAAGTCACACATGACTTTCAAATGGTCATCCCTATTTTTTTTAGTCCTTACCCTGTTTGATCTCTGCAAAGTTTATACTGTTCATTATTTCTCTCTTTTTGAAATTAATCTCCCTTGATGTCAGGAACTACACTATTTTTTCCTTTCACCATTTTTACCCTGGGTGGGTCTCGCTCTGTCTACCTCATAGGCAGGCTTCATTACAACTATGTGCCTTCAAACACTGGCTCTTCTTGCTCTGTCCATAGTCTTCTTTCCTTGTACAGTACCTTAAAACCTGGGTGGACAAGTCATTGTTTCAACCTGACTTTAGCTTATCCCTGAATAGCTACTTGGTTTTATTTCTAATCCACCCTGTACCTTAAGCTACGCACCTGTACTTCCTTTAGCAACGAGACATCACCCCACAGATGTCAGTCTTCTGATCTCAGATGGTACATGCTTCCGTCCTGAAGAAGGAAACCTTACAGCTACCTCCTTCTCCACCTTCACATCCCGCCAACTGACAGACATTGTTTATCTGGATGCAGAATAATTACTACAGTGTTCTCTCTCCTCTTTATCTTACTGTTTTAAATCTCTAAGATTCAGTACTATGACTTGTCCACATTTAGTCTATTCCAGGTATAATTCATCTTCTGCATCAACTAAATAAGCATATACTTCAATTTGGCACAAAATCTTTAATAATGACTTTCAGTTCTGTATTACAGTGCTCTCCAAGGTCTCTTGGTCATACACAGCCAAAAAATAACAACTGTGGGACCCAACTGCTAATATTAGGGAGTCCATTTATTAGTAAATTAGTATATACTATAAGATAGATTTTATACAGATTGGTTAAATATATATACTGTAATACTAATATACACAAACAAAAAACAGGATGAGTTCAGTATATAACATGTACACATTTTCTAATACTTTGGTGGGTTTTTTATGTCTGAGGAACCATAAGTTATCTACAGCTTTCTGAAAATAAAGTATAAATTCTGTAGTGTTGTATTCACTTGGTCATACAATATGGTTCTAATTCTTCCTACTTCCCATCCCTACCTTACATAAATATACTGTATATAAATATTACTATGTATAAGACCATATCTATACTTCAACAACTGTAAGCTATTAACTACTCTTTCAATAAATAAAAGCACTGCATATACTTTTCTAGGAAATGCCCTACTCTACTTGCAAATTCCCACTTATTCTTCAAGATCTAGCTCAAATGTTACTTCTTGTAAGAAATCTTCTAAAGAATAAGTAAAATTGATACACCCCTAGCCAACCTTATCAAAAAAGGAAAGAAAAAATTCAAATTCATGCAATAAGGAATGAAAAGGGTGAAATTATTATAGACCCTATAGAAATTCAGAAGATCATCAATACCTATTTCCACAATATTTACTCTCACAGGATGGAAAACACAGAAGAAATAGACAGATTGCCAGATACATATGAATTACTAAAGCTGAATCAGGAAGATATAATAATTCTGAATAACCCAATATTAGTGAATGAAACTGAACATGTAATAAAAAACCTACTAACAAAGAAAAGCCCAGGTTTTGATGGACTGGCAACTGAATTTTACAGGAAATTTAGAGAATATTTAATGCCAACTCTTCTCAAACTCTTCAATGAAATTGAAAGGGAAGAAATACTCCCAAACTCATTCTGGGAGGCCAGTATCACACAGATACCAAAACCAGAGAAAGACCCAACCATAAAAGAGAAGCACAGGCCAATCTCTCTGATGGTGAACAGAGATGAAAAAAGTCCTCAATAAAATACTAGCAAACAATGCAATGAATCAAAAAGATTATACATCACAACTGAGTAGGATTCATCCCAGGAATACAGGGATGGTTCAATATATGCAAATCCATAAATGTTAATACACCATATCAACAGAGTCAAAGACATAAATCACATGATCATCTCAAGAGATGCATGAAAATGGTTTGACAAATTCCAATACCATTCATGATAAAAACCCTACAGAAAATCAGAAAATGTGGTTTTTTTTTTTTTTTTTTTTTTTTTTTTTTTTTTTTTTTTTTTGCGGAACTGAGGATTGAACTCAGGCCCTTGCGCTTGCCAGGGAAGCGCTTATTCCACTGAGCCATCTCCCTGGCCCAGAAAAGGTGGTCTTTACCTCAACCTGATAAAAGCCATCTATGACAAACCAACAGCTAACATTATACTAAATAGACAAAAATTGGAAGCCTTTACTTTAATATCAGGAACAACAAAGGGATATTCACTGTCACCACTCCTACTCAATATAGTTCTAGAAACATAAGCCAGAGCAATTAGACAAGAGAATACAAGGATCAATGACTGGCAAGAAAGAAGTGAAATTACCATTCTTTGCAGATGACATGATATTCTACATAGAAGACCCCAAAATTCTACTAGGAGACTTGTAGATTTAACAACTTAATTCAGGAGCATAGCAGAATACAAAGTAAAAATCAATAGCATTTCTATATACAACAAGGAATGGATCGAGAGAGAAATTAGGGAAATCATGCCTTTCATAATAACACACCCCAAAATGAAATACAGAGGAATCAATCTCATGAAGAAAGTAAATGATTTACACACTGAAATTATAGTGCTCTGAAAAAAGAGATCAAAGAGAATTCAGAAAATGGATAGATATTTCTTGCTCCTGAATAAGAACCAAAGGGGCTGGAGAGATGGCTCAGTAGAATAAGTGCTTGCCTGGCAAGCTCAAGGGCCTGAGTTCAATCCCCGGTTCCACCAAAAATAATAAAAATAAAAAAAGAATAAGAACCAACATTGTGGGGGGCTGGAGAGATGGCTCAGTGGTCTGAAGCACCTACTTAGAACAAGCTTAGCAAAAGCATCAGGGACCGCGGTTCAATCCCCCAGCACCACATGCCAGCCAGCCCTGCCCCCTGGTGGGCTGAGCTGGTCTCTCTCTCTCTCTCTCTCTCTCTCTCTCTCTCTCTCTCTCTCTCAAATAAATAAATAAAATTAAAAAAAAAATAAAATAAAAAAAAAAAGAACCAACATTGTGAAAATGACTAGACTTCCAAAGTTGTTATATAGATTCAATGCAATCTCAATTAAAATATCATTAGTATGCCTCACAGATCTAGAGAAAACATTCATGTGCAATCAGAAGAGACCAATAATAGAAAAAGCAATTCTTGGAAATAAAGGAAAGGCAGGAGGCATCACAATTTCTGACCTAAAATTATACTACAAAGCTACTGTGATAAAATTAGCATGGTACAAAAACAGACCTAAGGGTCAATGGAACAGATTAGAATATGCACATCCAACAGCAAACACACTCAGCCACCTTATCTTTGACAAAGGGGCAAAACATGTTCTCTGGAAGAAAGTCTCGTTAATGGTGCTGGAAAAACTGGCTTTCCATATGCCAAAGGCTAAAATTGGACCCATGTCTATCACCATGCACAAAACTACAGTCAAAGTGGAACAAAGATTTAAATTTTAAAGCTGAAATATTACATCCTCTGGAGGAAAAAGTAGGCAGAAATTTTAAAGACATAGGGGTAGGTAGTGTACATGAATGCACAGGAAATACTTCAAGAATCAACAATTGGGATCTCATCTTTTAAAAAAAGTTTCCTGCACATCAAAAGAAATCACCAAGAGTTAAAAAACAAAAAAACCCTCATGAATTGGTAAAACATTATAGAGGACTGTCCCTCAGACAAAGGACTTCTATTTAGAACATATAAAGAATTGAAAAAAAATCAGGCAACCCACATTCAAAGACCCAATCCAAAAATAGGACTCTGAGATGAATACACATTCCAGATACGAAGAAATACAATATGGTAAATAAATACATGAAAAAATGTTGACATTCAAAAGATGAAAATTAAAACACTAGTATTCCATCTTACCATGGAAAGAATGGCTATCATCAAAAAGTTAATCAATAACAAATGCTGGAGGGTTTTTGGGGAAAAAAGAATGCTTCTGCACTGTTGGTAAGAGTGCAGACTGGTATAACTACTATGGAAATTAAGTGTGGAGATTCCTTAAGCAGCCAGCATTAGAGGTCCCGTTCAACTCTGTTCCTCTCCTCACTATTTTTCCAAATGAACTGAAAACATCATACCACAGTGATTTATGTGTGCCCATGTTCACAGCAGCATAATTTGTCATAGCTAAGTCTTGGAAACAATCCAAATGCCTATCAATGGATAAAAAAAGATGTGGTATTTTTATTTACTTATTTATATTTTTTAATTATGTATTTGGTACAGGGTCTCACTACACAGCTCAGACTCATAGTGATCCCCTTGTCTTCAGCCTCCTCAGCACTGGGTTTACAGGCATGTGCCACCACACCTGGACTCGGTCACTGACTCAGCGCGTCGTGCCCGGGATGGAACCCCAGGCCCTGAACTTGCCACTGAGCTATCTCGCTGGACCGATGTGAATTTATACTCAGCTATAAAAAAATGTTAAATTCAAGGCTTTTATAGATAAACGGATACAACTAGAGACCATTCTGGTAAGTGAAAAATGTAAGACCCACATTGAAAACATTGTATTCTCTAACAAGAGTAAGAACCTGAAAGAGTAAATAAAATCTGTGAAAGAGAAAGATTCTGTGAAAGAAAAAGAATCTGTTTAACGGGAAGGAAAACCTGAGACGAGGAAAAGGACAAAAGAAACAAGAAAAGAAGATGTATATTTACAGGATAGTTTTGATAACTGTACTGCTGATTTCTGCTGGTCTACTGAAAGGAGCAGTTAATGCTGAAATGTTTTCTTTTTCTTTTTTTCCAGTTCTGCATGCTTATGTCTGGCAATCCGAATGACTGATTTGAACATACTATGACTACAACAGCCATAGCAGTCAATTCCTACTACTTTGTTTAGTGAAATTCTGTATCATTTTAAATGCTTTTTCTTTCTCTTTCACCATTTTGTATTCTCTTAAAAAATTAAAAACCTTTCAATCCTGTTCTTTTTATTCAAACACTACTGTGCTACAGTTACTGTTGTTATCCCGTGCCTCTGGGCGGAGAGACTCCAGCACATCCAAGGCCAAGGGACTCATCTTGTTAGCCTGCCCAAGTACCCGGGACAAAGTAGCACGACACATGAAACCAGAGCCTTAGGGTACCACTGTGTGTCACAAATTTCCACACAGACTGTCACAACCTAAGAGTACACAGACAGACTCTGCTATATTTGGTTAAACAAATGGCCAAAAAAAAGTCAATAAGATTAAAAAGGGTATTTCTAACATATTAGATACAGATACTTCAAATAAGCCATGGATAATTTAAATGAGAGCTATGTATCAAATGGTTACCATGTGCTGGTCACAGCATTCACAATGGTATGATGCTGCCCTCCCACAGGCCTCTGACCTAAGCGCCTCTTGAAACGTAAGAGCTCTTAGTCACAACCCTACCTCTCATCTAAACACTAGTTGCTAAAAGCCTTTTAGAAAACAGCTAACATTTTTTATTTCTGTGAATCTTACTATTTTGAAATGTTAGAAGTGGAAAGGAGACCCTAAGACTTTAATCTAGCTCTCTCACTATACAGAGTGGGGCGTGCCTGCAGGAGCTAAAAGCACGGATGCGCAGACTCCGAAGAGACACAAAGCCGGCGTCTCAGTGCGAGTGCACTTTCTTTGCTCTACTGGATGTCTACAAATAGAAAGCAACTTTTCTCACAGCCACTCACAAATTACTCATACAAGCCAATTAGTGATTATGTAAGAAAGAAAAGTATTTGTACTTAAGCCCACTGACTTTCTAAATTTATCTTCGCTACACATATTAGACTTTCTATTTTTCCATTTTCTAACATGCAAATGTTTAAAATTAAGTTTAAATAATAGTTAACTCAGAATCATTCGCATATTTCCTTTTTATTTCAAAGCAACAGTACCTGAATATGTTCTTTTGTGATCAGCCAGGGTCGATGTGCTAGCAGCTTATTTATTTCATTAAGATTTTTCAGTCTTTGCGGGACGTACTCCAAACCATTCAACCACTCAGCAATACCTCCAGTCTTTAAAAACTCATCCACATGCATGTTTATTAAGTAAGAACACTGATGTCTAGCTGCAGCCTAGCACAGAATAAAGAATTTATTGATAAGTAATCATGGTAGAATTTCATTCCATTACTTATAAACAAATAATTTAGAGTTGCTTCATTGCTTGTTCATTTGTTTGAGACAAGGTCTTGCTCGACATAATCCAAGCTGGTTTTAAACTTATCATCCTGTCTCAGCCTCCTGAATAGCTGGATTACAGTTATACAGTGCATGATAATGCTTGGCAACAATTTTCATAGTTAATTTTTTTTTTAACAGAATCTCCTCCTTTGAAAATGTTCATCATACTATTTCAATAATTTTTAGGTCAGTACAGGAAGCTGGTATATGGTTCTAAAACCAGATAACTGTCACATGAAGGCAATCATGTCTTCATTCGCAAATTGGTACCGACCAACCCAGAGCCGCTTTCTAGCTGTTCGCAGGGACCACGCATTAGTTCCCTCCACATCAGTGCGCACTGTGCTCTATGTAAGACATAATAATATCTCATGAGCCCGTGCGCTGGCCATCTAGAACGCATGTCAGTGTTGCCTTCTCTTATCAACTTTAAGATGAGGGTGACCCTGGTCACAGTGTCCTCACTGTCCTCCTCTGGTGGCACTGAAGCCCTCTGCAGTCAGAAGACGCCTGCGTGCAGACAGCTTAGCAAATCCATGCAGAGAGGACTTCTGACTTCTCTCTTCTTTTTCCAAGGCTGCTTCTCAGTAAAACAATATTGTTTTATTCTTTCTAGCCCCTGTATGTTGGCTTTCTTTTAGTTTGTAAAAGCATTCTAAATCTGTTTTTAGTGTTACTACCATCAAAACTTAAAGCTGAAATTACAGTCTTAAAAGAAATTACAGTCTTAGTCAAGTTCATCGTTCAATTAAAAAGAATGCTGCTTCTGTTGTTTTATCTGTATAAAGTTCAGTGAGAATATAAAGAGGCAATCTACCGAAACCTGGTAAGAACTAGTCTGCGAGTTTCCAGCCGGCTCTGCTGCTCCGCAGTCCGGCCGCATGCTCAGCCTCCAGGGTCTGCGGCGCTCACATCGCTCCTGTCCATTCTCTCTGTATCAGTCCAGCTCCGCACTGGGCTCTTTTCTGTCTATCCTCACAAAAATAATGTGTGGGATGTCACTTTCAGCCCCATAAACATTTCTAATCATGATAGATTAAATACACAAAATTGTTTTACGGGAAAGTAAATGAAAGACATTCAGTACACTAAGTGGTTTTACGCACTCCAAATATGTTCAAGGGATTTGGTATTAAAAGAGGCCCCAGGTTCCAAATCTGTAGTCAATGAAATTATACTTGGTGCGTACACACACACACACACACACACACACACACAATTTTGAAGGGAAAAAGAAGTGGAAGATGTTACATGAAACTAGGGACGAAAAGGACAGTGAGCACCTACCATGATGGCAATGTAGTGCCTGCAGGGCAGTGGAAGGGGCCCGTCCATGCGCAGCATGTAGAACTGGCTCCGCAAGAACGACTCCAGGTATGGCGTGTGCAAGCTCATGACCTGCGTGATGTTGTCCAGACGCCCGGAAGTGGAGTACTCCTCCACGAGGAAGGTCGTGCGCTCATCCACTGGGTTTGCTTGGACAACCTTACAGTGGAGAAGAAGCAGAGAACACAGTAGCTACCATTGTGCAGTCAACATATCCTTGCTTCACATGCATTTTGCCACTACTCAAGCAAATGAATATTCATTCGATATTAACACTGAAATTATGTAGCTGCTCATACTAGTAACAGAAATTTTTTAAAAAGTGCCATTCATTTTTGGCTCTGGTACTACAGTTTATTAAACAACAAAATGTTAAACTATCAAATATTAAATACACAGCTATAAAATTGAAGAAAAGAAGCTCCCATCTGTTCTGCCAGAAATATTAAGCAGATACTTCAGAGCTGATGTGCCTGGCCATTGCCACACCAGTTCACAGTCTGGCAAAAGCAGCCGCATTTGATCATATACATTTATAATTTAATCTCGTCAGCTTGTAAAGATAATCACATTATTTTTAGACAAATATTTTCATTATGATCCTTTGCTAGTTTTTGTTATAAAACATTTTATAAAAGCTTTCTGAAGTCTTTTCAAGGGCACCAGAATATGTGATAATTTGCAGAAAAGCTTTAATTGAAAAATTAATAAGGCTACTAGAGTACCATTATTCCTAATTTGAGGTTATCATATGAATTACTAACAATAAGGTAAGTTATAATGGATAACCTCCATCCTAGGGGATCAAAAGAGCTTTCTCAAAAATAAATTTATTTAAAGCTTTAAACACACTGACAGGTTTTTGTTTTTATTTTTTGGCAGGAAGGGTCTTTTTGAGATGTGGTTTCACGATGTAGCTCAGACTGGCCTTGAACTCACTTTGCAGCCCTGGCCAGCCTTGAACTTGCAACTATCCTCCTGCCTCAGCCCAATGAGTGCTGGGGTTCCAGGTATGCACCACCACACCTCAGCCCAATGAGTGCTGGGATCCCAGGCATGCACCACCACA